TTCAGTTGACTCAGTCAATGGACTTTCCATCATTTCCTTCATACTCCCATCATGATGGGTCTCATAAATCTTGCTAATGGAGGATATTACCTGATATCTGAGATACATTTTCCTTCTTGCATTATGATCACAATACATTTCATTTGCATTCCTTAGGCCCTGTCCAAGGCAATTCTGCTCCGTGGTTTCTGTTTATGCTCTTCATATGCTTGTGGACAAGAACAACACTCTTCATTTATTTTGCCAAGTTAAACACATCTAATTCTTTTCATATTTCTTCATAAATCATTACTTCCAGGCCTTAAATGCAGCTTTACTCAGAAAAATTATTTTAGAAATGACATTGCCTGGTATCCACACTTACTAATCTCCCAGCAACTGTTCCATCATTTTTCCAACTGCCAGTGCTTTGCACTAATTTCACAATTTATTTTTTTTTTGTCTGGGTGCTCTACAGAACAGCATGGGGAAAATCTTAGATCTGATCACATTTTCCTTCTTCACATCATTCACTTCCTTTTGAATTCACTTTTGCCATCTCACATGCAGGAATTAATACAAAAATAATTGAGAAATTTACATCCAATTTGATGGAATTCTGCAACACTGTCCCTCTTTTCAAATACAATATAATCCTTGATCAGAAGTTATGGATAAAAATATTTTACTTATTTCTGGTGTGGCACCTACAATGTATTAGATGTTTAAAAAAACCCTCTTCCTGTAAGTGCAAACCTCATGTTCTTTAATGCAATGCTGGTACCTGAGACTTCCATCAGGATTTATGTTCCTGTGGCCGAGTAAACGTTAATTCTGTTGAAGATTCACCAGCAGAATAAATCCCACCTGGGTGATCCAAACTTACAGAAACAACACACCTTAAACAAGAAGCTATTTTACTTCTTTAGGTACCCAGTCATCCCCACTTACTAAAAAGACTGGAACAAGCATCCAGGCCGCTCTGCCTGCAAGCAGGAGGTACCTCAGCAGAGCTGCCCAGGTGGCAAACACGATTCCAAGAGGAACAGCTTTTAAGGGAATATGCTTTGCAGATCATGAGCTAGAAAAATTTGGACAATATTTTACCATGTACTGAAATACTGACTTGAATCCCTTTTCTGACGGGAGGAAAAGGAGTGTCCTGCGTGGGTTCTGCAATTCCTTGCTATCGCAGCAGTTTATTATCCTCCAAAATAATTTCCCAAGTTTTGGGGAAAAAAATTAATTTCTTTAAAATTAAGGACACATATTATGGGTAGAACTGGTTTTCTATTTAGATTCTTCCTTTCCAAGTGTTCTATTAACACCCCACATTGCGAAATGTCTCCATTACTCACAGATAGCCTTGTGCTGCTGTGGTTTCCCCTTTGTCAAGGCCCATTTATGAAATCAGTTCAGGGCTCATCCACTTCAGATTCCTGGTTGACTCTCTGTTTAGTAATGATTTCTTTAATTTCCCCCCTCATACACCATAAGCCATTTCTTATTTTGTTTTACAATTTACTCAGCCTTTTTGATTATTGTCCCTCTCTCTACATTGTAAATAATCCTCAATATTCTGATTTTTTGCCCTATTTCCTTTCATCGTCTCAAGTAAAGGCGCCTTTGTACCATCAAATCTTTGAGCTACATCAATCACTTCTTGTGTCTTGTATCTTCCTTTATCAGATGAATTAGTTGTGATGTGCTTATGATATATTTAAATCCTTGCCTGTTTTTCTCTCTACTTATGTTTGTTTTCTTTGTAAATATTTCTTGCACCCATTTCTCTGTCACTAGTTACTTAGTTCCTTGAAATTTATCAGACTTTTTAACAGCTTCATCTTTCCCGTTTTGTGCAACTTCCTCACAAACAGCAAATTCACAAATTTATTTTGTTCAAGGCTGATGTAGAGCTGCTCTTTCCCTGCTCAGACCCCGCCGAGCTCAGACACAGCTGCAGCTCTGGCAGGAAAGTTTTCCCTCTTTTCATTCCCTTTCACAAATCTCCCAGCCCAGGAGATCAGTGATGTTCTATTTCCACGTTATTGTTCTGAGCAATTACTCCAAAGATCCTACTGATACAGATTTGAAAGAGCAAGAAAAACAAGAAATTCTCTTTAATTACTGAGGACAAAATGAATACTGACACTTCAGCTGAGGATGAAAAGGATTGTTTCATGTTCTACCTCAAATTCCTCATCAGACATTGAAGTTTCCACTAAATTCTATGGAAATCAGGGCTGAGAAGGGTCTGCCCTGCTTCTGATCATCTTAAACATGGTGTGTCTGTCACCACGCAGTGAAATGTGTGCCCTGTGCTTCCAGGGATTCCTCGGGTATGTGCTATCATATCTTATCAACACACAGTACTTATCAAGTGTTGATGCAAAAAGCCCGAAGGAACATGTGTAAACTGACTTCAGAAGAAGAAATCACGAGGAAGACCTGAGGGAGTTTAATATAGACACCAGGAGTAAAATTTGGTATTGGAAACACTCCTGTAATGCTGAAGGTATCCCAGTGACCAACAAAAAACCCCCGTGCACTTGGAGAGGGACAAAAGAGCATCAAGGCAATGCAGGGCAGACTCTGAGGAGGGCTCTGCCAGAAGACTGAGCAAGTCAGAAAACAGCGTCAGGCAAATTGGTACCTTCGGTTCAGTTTGTCAGAAATAGGGCACCGTGGCACGTTGGGGTGGCGAGAGCAGATGATGGGAGGGATTGGCAAGATAAACAGAGTTGCAGTGCCACACTCCCTCCTACTCATGCACTCAAGGTGGTGTTTTTATTAGCACATGCATCAGGTATTTTGAGTCACAGACAGACACAGTGTTTATTAGCTGGTTAAAACCAAAACACTTTTGCAAATTTAAATAAATTGGAAAACTTAAAAGAAAAAGAAAGGTTGAAGTTATTTATGATGCCATGTAACCAGCTCTCACCCTGCTCACTGCTGAGTGCTGCCCAGGGAGGATGGTTGTAGGTTTTGGCAGGCTCCTAACTCACATAGGAAGACACAAAAAGCCAGTTAAGGGCTCCTCTGGAACATTCTGGCTATTTTTTGAAGATTGAAAAAAAAAAAAAAAAAAAGAAGAAAACAGAAAACTCTACCAGCTGAAGCTGGTATATATATAGAAAGAGAACAGGACCCTCCAAGAAGTGGGCTATATATTTCCCACAGTAAAATCTGTGCATGGAGAACAAAGCTATAATAAAAATAAGCATCCAAATTGCAGTTTATTGTGCCTCAATGATCTCCAGAGGAAATCTGCTTAGTCTGCAACCCAGAGGAGGATTTTCCCACCTTCTAGCTATGAAAATCTGAAACTAATTCTGTGTTCTCTGGCCACTCATAATACAGGCTCTACAATCAAAACATGATTAACAACACTGCTGCTGCTGCTAATGAATAAGCTAGAAAAGAATCTACCTCTTATCTAATGTTAATTTTCCAAGAAAGGGAGAGAAAAAGGCAAGGATGACAAAGTAATATTTTGAGGTCAAAGCAGGCAATTGCAATTCCATTCCATAATGCCATCACTTTCTGAGTAGAATGAGCTGTGATTAGCAAAGGAACCTTACCAGGGGGAAAAAAAGGTCCATCCACCTTTCAGACCTTCCTGGTTCTGAACTTGACAAACAGATGTTACCAACACCTGCATGCTGGCTGAAGAATCTTTCCCAGCTGGATCCATGAACAAATCGTCACAGGCAGCCCAACACACAGAAACACCTTTGAAAATATTCCCTATTCATGCTCAGACCATTTTTTTCTAACATAATAGTGGTTACAAGAAATTAAAGACTCTTTCCCCATTTTTTCCATGACTTCTTCCTCAGTTCTCTCTACAAATCCAAACTCTCCTGTCTCCCCAAAATCCAAAACAGAAAGCAAAATATCCTTCCCTTCTCTCCCCCAGATCAGCACAAGCTATTCTCAACATCAGGTCAATAGCAACACAACGAGGAGAAAGCTTTTCAATATTAATTTTTTAAGTTAGTCCAATTAAAGATAACACCTTCAATCTCCCTTATGCTGCATTTTCCAAACATTTTAAAACATTGGATACAAAATGCTGATCCTGAAAGAATCTGAAAGCTAGCTGCTGAGCTCTGCCAGGAGGAAAAACTTTGTCCCTAGGGAACTGGCCAGCAATCGGCCACGTGATCCAGCAAGTTACACCAACCTCTGTCCTATTCCAAGGGCTTGCTTTAATCCAATTGTTTAGATACAGCTTGACATTATTATCCCAGATCTCATTACCACATTGCAGAGAACAGTCTGTAAATCCTGAACTGAGAATAAAGAACAGGCTGCAAAATACACTGTTTTATTCCTGGCTACACCAAAACCCCTCTGCCAACAGCAACCCATCTTTGCTTGGAGCAAGGGATGGACAAACACGATGGATAAAGCAATGATGATGTAATATTAAGAAACTATCAAAAAAGGAAAGTCCAAAGCTCCTCTCTTCCCCTCAACTTTTTTGGTGTAGTTTGGAAACACCCACACTTTCACCGGAGAGACAGGGCAAGTGCCAAACCCTGGTCAGAGACCCACCTGTGCCAGGAAACAACTAACGTGCCCTCCACCTCCAGTGGGCTTTTAAGCAATTATGTGTTGTACATAGGTTATCAAATTACATTTTTCACTCTTGAAGCACTGTCCAGAACTATCTTCCATCTCTTCAGTTTGAGGGACCAGTGCAGTATTCTCTCTTCCTGAATAATTTGAGTTGAAACTAAATTTAGCAGGACAGAAGAAGATGGCACCAAAATCTGAGTGCATTAGTACCTGTGCACACTATTCCTTGGAATTATCATTTCATATGATGATTTGTCACCATCTGATTCTCAGGCCATGGAAATTGTGGCACAAAAATGCATTTACGATTTTGGCTCTTACAATGAATTCTGTAAATTTTACTAGATGTTGTTAAAAAAGTATTTCCCTTTCTTTTTGTAAACCAATTGTCCTTGTTTGGTTCCTGCACCAGAATAAGCAGAAACAGCAGTTACCTGTTCACATTCCTCATGTGCCACAACCTGCTCTCCCTGTGCCACTGACACAGGGACTTTTCCCTGTGCTCGATGTTATTGGCTGGAGTGTGGCAGCAACTTCCAGTTCCACTCTGCAAAAACACTGATAAAAACTTGGCCCTCTGAGGATGAGGAGAAGAGAAGAAGGTAAATATACACACACAAAATAAACAGTGGGTGTAATTGTTTGCAAGGCTGCTACTGCAGTAACTCCCTTGATTTTGAGAGCCACTATTATGATAAAACTCAGTTATAGTCCTCTGAAAAGTGGCAACAGACTGTCATGATATCCAACATGGAAACTGATGTTATTGCTTGGCATTGAGGCAGCTCCACCAACCCAGGCCAGTATTCCTTCATACTGAAACAGTGATTTAGCTCCCAGCACCAGTCAATTATTTCCACTTCCTCTTTAATACATCAATTTTTTTGAATTTGTTTAAATTCTAGGCAGCAAGAATGAGAAATCTTGTCATCTTCTTCCTGAAGAGCCTCACATACTGAGCACCGCTAAATATTTGGCAAGATAAGTGACAGAACTGCTCTAAAGGAGTCATGCGTTCTAGAAAATAAAAAACAAACGTACATCTGTTGTCTCTTTTGTCAGTGTGAAAGGTGAGCCACATAAAACATGTAATGGTAAAACACCGAGGAAAGACAGAAGACATGCCCATGTCAATTTAGGTGTAAGGTTATCCCATTTCCTCTCATTTCTGAGGAGGTGACATGCTTAGTTTTTCAGAAAGATGTGCAAGAGACCAAAGTAATGGTTATTGGATCATGCTGGCCTGAAATCTAGGAAAAAAAGCTACCAAACTGTTAGCTTTGCAGACAGGTATTGTTGGATTTGACTCTGGTGGGGACTCAGACACAACCTGGAAGGCTCACATGCCTGTCACTGGCCATCAGAACATTCAGCCTTTGCAGCCAAGTTTATAGGGATGTGCCACAGCCCCACCAGCCCTTTGGCCAGTGAAAAGGGCACAACTTCCAAGTCATGCCCTCCTTGAGGCAGTATTCCTGTGCTGCACAGGATCCCACAGAGGCTCAGTAAAGCAATGGAGCAGGAGGGCCAGAACGTGGAATTTTCTGACCCAGAAGCAGCATAAATGGCTGGGTGAAGACTTCTGTATGTAGAGATCAAGTGGGGACACCTCCCTCACCGCCAAAATGGTGCTGCACACCAGAGTATCCCATTAGCCCTCCCAGGCGGGAAAATACTTTTTTTTCCCCTCAGTAAAAGAACAAAGACCATTGATTTTTCTGTTTATATAGAACAGGCAAAAAGAACTCAGGCAAAGTCCTCCTTCTGCAGTACTTGTTTGAGATACAGTGTGTGACGGGGTTTTTATAGCTGAAACAATTGCATCTCAAACTATGAAGTCTGAGTGTTCTCCAGCTCACACCCACAACAGTGCCTGTGGCAGGGGGGATTCTGAGGGACAGAAACCTCTTTTCTGGAGGAGGATGGCTGGCACCTGACACAACTGGCCTTCAACTGAAAGGAAGAGACTGCAAGGCTTTAACACATTATCTGATTTACACTATTATTCATAATGCCAAAATATTCAAAGTACAAAAAAAGTATTATTTCAGCTCTTTCTTGGATGCACTTTGTAGCACACTCAATGACCACCTTATCCCTTTGCAAAGGGTGGCAAAGACATTTCATAAATGTTTACTCCAGGATTAAAATATTTTTGGTTCAGTTTGCATATGACTCACTAGCAGGCTCCCAGGTTCGTCTGGATTATTTGTTGCATTTGTTGAAAAGTACACATGTACATATACTAAATTCACTTTAAAAGGAAGGATCCTGGAGGACTGCTGTTCAGTGAACAGGAATGCCAGTATCCTCCATGCTAACAGCCCTGACTGAAGCAGTTTACTTAAGAGGAGGAATTAACTCTAGGGCAGTTATTCTGCTGAATGTCAATAGACAGCAGCACTGAGAAAACTCCTTCTTTTTTTTTTTTTTTTTTCCCTGATTTGGGAAAAGGAATCTTTGAAAGTAGAAAACAGCAAAGACTAAAACCAAACACAGCAGTCATCAATGGATGAATTCTAACATCAATTACTAAAGATAATTCTAATATTTGTCTCTCAGATTATGGACTTTTCACAGCAGAAACAGAATAGGAACATACCCCAGACCCAGCATTCTTTCCCATACCCAGTGCAGTCAGTGGGACAGGACACACTCTTCAAGCTGAGCAACTTTCCACTGAGGCATTTTTCTGTCAGCATATTGTCCAACACGGAAAGGTATGGGGTGGGGGAAAGGCCACAGGCATTTCCCCCTCTCAAATTATCTCAGCCATTTCATTCTGCAGACATTTTATGATGAAAGTGTTCAGCCTCGAGACAGGGCCCTCCATGTGGCAGAGCCATGACTGTGACCATGGACATTCCTGACAGAATCTGCCACGCGCTCTCTGTATCGCCCTCAGCGCAGGTGAAGGATCTGTAAATGTGGGTAAAGTGCTCCAGGGTTCCCTGACAGCCATAAGGGACAGCAGAACGGGATCCCAGAGCACATGGACACAATAATCATAAACACAGACATCCAAGTAGTAAAAATATTCTGAACTACATCAGGTAAATATTTCAGTGTAATATTTACAATGCTGTCTGCTGACTTAAGAGCTCCTTTGTAGAGGAGCTCTGCACTTTAATGTGTATTTCTATATTAACTTTAATATTAATTTCCCATTGAGTTTCCAGTCAAACTGTGGGACTCTGCTTCTTTACCATTAGTAATTTGGTGAAGAGTTTTGAACCCCCTACTGTGTTATTTGGTTCCATCCGTTGATGTTTCTTTCCTTACCACCTTGTCCCTCCAAGCTGGCCAGTGTTCCTCCCTTGCCATCCCATGTTAATCAGTCCCTTATCCTCACTGCCACCCCACATCTGTCTACCCTGAAGAAAGAAAGAAATAGGGGAGGGGCTTATTGAGGCAGCAGGGAGACATGGACAGAGCCTTCAGATACTGAGGAGGTTGTGACAAAGAGTGAAAACCTTGTCCCATATTCATGGAACACAAAAAAAGTAGAAGTAGATATGAAATGCAGTAAGGGAGATTTAGATTAAGTAAAGGAAAAACCTAGTCTCAAATAAAAAGTGTAATTAAGCACTGGAATACATTTCCATAAGAATATCAACTGTCTCCAGAGATGGAGGAACATTTCATGGTCCTTTCCAGCCCTAATCCAGTGATAAATCCTTGACATCCCTTTCCCTTACCTTTCAGACTGTTCTTCACTGTTACTTTGCAAGATAACCAAGTTTGATTTTTTCATTTAACAAATGGTGTAGGGTTACTAAATCTTTTGGTATAAGAAATTGCTTGTCTAAGGCACACTAGTGATCCATAAAGGCTGACAGCCTGTCTGCAAGGGCTGCCAGCAGCAGTTTGGGGAGAAGAAACTTTGCCGGAGAGACTTGCAGAATGATCTGTCTCCATGTGCCCTCCTGATCTCCAGGAGTCAGCCACTAGAGTCAGGAGAAATGGCAAACTTCACAAAACTGTTTTAAAGGAAATCATCAGAACTTAAGATTTTCTTTCTACAGCTCTGAATCTTACCATATTCTTCAGCTGCAAAAAATAATCCTAAAGGCTAATTTTAAATTAGGGGAGAAAAAGGGTTCAGTTTATTAGTTTTGGTCTTGAGTTTTGAGTTGTATCAAGAGTTTTTCTACTTGTTGATGTAACAAATACCAAATAGAAGTCTCTTTCATATACTGTATTTTTGTGCACTGACAATCCTTCAGGCAAGCTCCAGTTGTTTTGGCAGCTTACAGAATGATTTATCTGCAAAGAAAATTCTCTTGTTCAGTGGTACATAGAGAGGTTCTGCTGCAAATTCTTTTAGAGGAATTGCAGGATAAGCAATGGAGATCAGTATCTGATCCAAGATTTCAGCACCGTGGTGGTTAAAGCAGTGAGAGAAAAACAATGTTGTTTGGCACTTAGAAACCTGTTTCTAATCAGCTGAGCTACTCCTATGGGGTCAAATAAAAATGATTAGCTTATTAAAAGCATAGCTTTGCTATTTAATAAGCAAAAATGATTGAAAATTCTGTTCCAGATCCTGATAATTTTAGTGTTTCTAGTTAAGCCTACAAAATTGCATTCATTATTAGTGTCTAGATTCATTAACAATTCAATTTATAGATATTAATGCTTATAATGCATGCTTCACTTGCCAAAACTTGAAGAGAAATTGTTTCAATTAGCTTTCATGGATCATGGATCCTACCGGCTGGGTATTTTTAGACAAAAGATACAAACACATCCCCAAGCAATGCTAATGCACAGCTGGAATCCGTATGGAAGGTCAGCTAACGGTTTAAAAGGAAAACCAGTAAATGAATTTTACACAGAACAGTGAGACAGGAACAGAAACAATCAAATATTTGCAGGTCACAACTCTCCCCTCAAAAACGCCACAGTTCTCTGGGCTTTGTGCTGGATTTTTAAAAATCAGTGAGCCCATGAAGATATAAGCTGGTGACCGGATTAAGGGATGCCTGCCAGGCTGTGACGACGCATGCCAGGTATGCACGGGCCCAAGGCAAACTGCTCCCTTCTCATTCAAACTACATAATTAAAGTCAGCAATGAAGCACCGACGTAGCCAAGGACAGAACTGTGATCAACATTTTATCCTTTAGGTCTGTCGGACTCAGGGTAAACAACCCCAAATCTATACAAACAAATTTGTGCTACACCTGCAAACTAAAACCCCACGAGGGGACAGAATGGAACACCCCACTGAGCCGGCCAGGTGCAGGTTCAGGGGCCAGGTGCCCAGTGCTGTCCCTGTGAAAACAGGAGGCCTGGGGGTAGCAAAGCCATCCCCAGTGTCACACGGACACTGCAGCAGCAGGAGCTGAGCCCTGCTAGGCTCTGAGCCATGCACGACCCAGGAGAAGCACATGGCCTCAAAACCAGAGAGTTCAGCTGAGCACTGAAAGGACACACAGGATCGCTTGGGTTCATGGCCTGGACCCCATTAATATAAAAAAGTTACTAGAAGTTAGCCTTTGATATTGCCAGTAATCCATTCCTTTCCTTGTCCTCTGCTGAACATTCAAAACACCAGCTGGACAGTGGTAGGATA